CCATCTGCTCCTGCTAGCTAGCAACAGGTTTACTTGTTGTAGCTATCTAGCTACAATGCTAAGGTTGCCACGTTTTAAGTAAAGTTGGGAGTTATTTTACAGCTTGCATTGATGGTAGCATGTTTCTATAACTAAAAAGATTACACATATAAAAAATACTTTAACCATAGCAGTTTGTTGGACTGAGATATCTCTCTCTCTCTGTCACTAGCTGTGTAGCCTTAGGTAATGAGAATGTGATTAGCAGACATGATCAGCAAAGATGGTACCTGGATAGTAGAGTTTGTATGCTGTTTAGTACTTGGCAGTGTTTGCCTGTCCAGCTAGTGAACATAAAAGTAAGTATTTTGAAAAGAATGTGCAAGAATTGACATTGCCAACAAACGGAAATGTGTTCAGAAAAAATAAACACAATATGTAAAAAACAGCTCCTCCCGATCATCTCGAAAACTAAAGCAGATTCGAAGCTTCGACCCTTTGTTATTCTAGAAGCCTTAGACAAAGATTGAGATGGAGTAACATACTATGCAGTAGCTAAGAAACCTTCTTTCGGGAAGGAAGGCAGAGAAAACACCAAGTCACGTTTGCCATCGTGGTGTTGTTGACCTGCCGCTGACAGCTACTGTCCTTGGCTGTAACGACTTATTTCTTTCTGGGATAATTAGTCAAGCACGGCCCTGGCGCCATGATTAATGCACTTTGCCATCTTCAGCACAACATAAACATCCAACGCTGCCTGTAGCCTATAGCAGGATGATGCACTTCCAAACAAGTTCAATATCTCGGTAAAAATGAGCGCATGTGGTGCATACAGTCATATATACAGTCATTGGGTGCAACACATTTCACGTAGCCTCGTCTATAGCGTAGGCATGGCCTACGGTCAGTTACATTGGAAACTGTAAAATAACATCCATTCTTCTGGCTTAGGCTACATAGGCTAATAATTATGTGACTATAGGTCAGATTAAAAATAGGTAGAGGTGGTCGCTAATTAGGCAATTTTTGGCCCACCTGTGACATGTTGCAAGATCATAGGAATTCATGGAAAGGATAACACATAAAAGATGGGATGATTTTTAATAGTTCAGAGAACTATAAGCAACAATTTTGGCTGTTTTGTTAAATGTCCATAAGATATTCACCCATTTAGCCTATGATTAGGTGTGCATGTGAATGTGTTCCTGCCTGCGTGCATGTGCGTGTGTGTGAGAGAGAGATTATGATCAAAGAAACGTTGAAAGAGAGAAAGATTATGATCACAATAGGTTGATGATAGCTACATTAGTCTGTGTGTGTGTGTGTATTCACACCCTAACACTGCTCCTTCTCCTTGTTCGGGCAGGCTTCGGCAGTCGTCGTCTCCGGAGTACTAGCTGCCACCGTTCTATGTTTCTATGTTTGATTGGTTTTGCCTGTTTGTTACACCTGTTCCTTGTTAGTGTTCATTATGCGTCCTATTTAGTTCTCTTGAGTTTGGTCAGGTGTTGTGTGTAATTGTTCGATGTCACGTGTTGTGTTAGTTCGTTGTTCTGTTCTCTCTGTATATTTTTGTTAGAGAGAGTCCCGCACTTTGTGCGCCTTTATTTTGTACTTTACCATTGTGCGTAAAGTTCGCCTGTTGCCTGTTGCCGTGGTTGACTTGTTCTTTGGACTTCACTAAAGACGTCTGTTCGAAACCTCTGTGTGTCCTGCGTGTGATTCTACGCTACCTCTACACTCAACCCTGACATAATTACACACCATTACAATGGAATCAGCAGGAGCAACCGCACCCACGGAGATCATCGAGGAGCGCCTTCGTGGACAGGAGGACAGGATTAACCAAATCGGGCACGCTCTGGACAGAGTTATGAACACCCTTCATCGATGGGAGACCAGCGGGGTCTCGCCAGGCTCAGTGGACTATGTTTCTAGCCCGGTTCGTGTTTAAGATCACTTACATCCCTGGGTCCCAGAACGGGAAGGCAGATGCCCTGTCTCGGCGGTATGACACGGAGGAGAGGTCCGTTGAGCCCACTCCCATACTACCTAAGTCTTGTCTGGTGGCACCGGTGGTATGGGAGGTCGATACGGAGATCGAGCGGGCGTTACGCACCGACCCTAGCCCTCCACAGTGTCCGGTGGGTCGGACGTACGTCCCGCTCGAGGTCCGGGATCGACTCATTTATTGGGCTCACACGTCACCCTCCTCTGGGCATCCAGGTATTGGCCGGACAGTGCACTGCCTTAGCACAAAGTACTGGTGGCCAACGTTAGCCAGGGATGTGAGGATTTATGTCTCCTCCTGCTCGGTGTGTGCCCAGTGTAAGGCGCCCAGACACTTGCCCAGGGGTAAGTTACAACCCCTGCCCGTTCCACAACGACCCTGGTCTCACCTCTCGGTGGATTTTGTTACAGACCTTCCCCCCTCACAGGGGAATACCACCATCCTGGTCGTTGTGGATCGGTTCTCGAAGGCCTGTCGTCTTCTTCCCATGCCGGGTCTTCCTACTGCCCTACAGACCGCTGAGGCTCTATTTACCCACGTCTTCCGGCATTACGGGGTACCCGAGGATATAGTGTCTGATCGAGGCCCCCAGTTTACCTCCAGAGTCTGGAGAGCGTTTATGGAACGGTTGGGGGTTTCGGTGAGCCTTACCTCGGGTTACCACCCGGAGAGTAATGGGCAGGTCGAACGTGTCAACCAGAATGTGGGTAGGTTTCTGAGGTGGTATTGCCAGGGCCGGCCGGAGGAGTGGGCGAGATATGTTCCCTGGGCCGAGATGGCACAGAACACTCTCCGCCACTCCTCCACTAAACTAACCCCTTTCCAGTGTGTGTTAGGGTACCAGCCGGTTCTGGCACCTTGGCATGAGAGCCAGATCGAGGCCCCTGCGGTGGATGAGTGGGTGCGGCGCTCGGAGGAGATGTGGAACGCTGCACACATCCATCTGCAGCGAGCCATCCGTCGACATAAGACGAGCGCCGATCTCCACCGCAGTGAGGGGCCAGTGTACGCACCTGGAGATCGAGTCTGGCTCTCGACCAGAAACCTGCCCCTCCGCCTGCCCTGCCGGAAGCTGGGTTGGCAGTTTGTGGGGCCTTTTAAGGTCCTGAGGAGATTGAACGAGGTGTGTTACAGGTTACAACTGCCCATTGATTACAAGAATATTAACCCCTCGTTCCATGTGTCTCTCCTCAGGCCTGTGGTAGCTGGTCCACTCCAGGACTATGAGATAGAAGAGACTCCTCCGCCCCCGTTGGACACCGAGGGGGCTCCGGCGTACACTTTTCGGTCCATCCTAGATTCGAGACGCCGGATGGGGGGTCTCCAATATCTCGTGGAGTGGGAGGGGTACGGCCCGGAGGAGCGGTGCTGGGTGCCGAGGAGGGATATCCTAGACCCGTCTCTTCTGACCGAGTTCCATCGTGGTCATCCCACGCGCCCTGCTCCGCGTCTTCCTGGTCGTCCCCGAGGCCGGGGTCGGCGCACGGCTGGAGCCGCGCGTGAAGGGGGGGGTAATGTCACGGTTTCGGCCGAGGCTGCTCCTTCTCCTTGTTCGGGCAGGCTTCGGCAGTCGTCGTCTCCGGAGTACTAGCTGCCACCGTTCTATGTTTCTATGTTTGATTGGTTTTGCCTGTTTGTTACACCTGTTCCTTGTTAGTGTTCATTATGCGTCCTATTTAGTTCTCTTGAGTTTGGTCAGGTGTTGTGTGTAATTGTTCGATGTCACGTGTGTGTTAGTTCGTTGTTCTGTTCTCTCTGTATATTTTTGTTCGAGAGAGTCCCGCACTTTGTGCGCCTTTATTTTGTACTTTACCATTGTGCGTAAAGTTCGCTTGTTGCCTGTTGCCGTGGTTGACTTGTTCTTTGGACTTCACTAAAGACGTCTGTTCGAAACCTCTGTGTGTCCTGCGTGTGATTCTACGCTACCTCTACACTCAACCCTGACAGTGTGGCTGTTGTGGGGGTGGAGGATGGTGTTTACAGAAGGACACTGCTGAGCCTTTTGACCTAGAGGAGGTCCTGCAGGAGCTGCACAAAAGGGACAAAGAGAGAGGTGTGTAGACTAAGCCTACTAGTCTATTAAAACGTGAAACAGAAACCATTTACTCAAAAACGCTCTTCAACGTTTCGTAAAAGCAGTTGGGTTCTTAAAAACAGAAGTTGTAGTTCATTTTAATTGTATGGTTTCCACTCATTGCCTTTCCAATCCGAATAGTCTGCGAAGTGTTTGGCACAAGCTGCACATCTATAAATGAACAATTATTCCATGCTCCAAAGTGGAGTGAAGTATGTGGGGTTCCATCCAACTTCTTCCACCCGCTTATTTTTTTAAAAATAGGGACACGACTGAACTACAATTTCCATTTAAGAACAAAACGGAACTCAACAGTTTATGGATTAAACAGAATCCAACTAATGAATACACCCCTGGGTGTTTTTCAGGTTTGCTCATAGCATGAGACAAATCTATGGCCATGGCCAAGTAATATGTTTTGCTGCCATCTCGTGGTCACATATGTTACATGTAGGTATGGGACAGTCTCCAACTTAATTCATTACTGAAACAATTGAGTGGCGACAGCAGGGTTTGAACCATCACATTTATGGTTACTGGGCACCTAACTTTCTGAGCTATTAATATCCAGACCTCTTGGCAGAGGTTCATTTTAGTATTCTGCTAACATGGAGGCTATAGTACTATTTGGCCAGTATAGACCTAATACCATAGAATTACATGATCTCAGTGACTAATTTACATTTTAGCAGATGCTCTTATCCAGAGCAACTTACAGGAGCTATTAGGGTTAAGTGCCTTGCTCAATGGCACATGGACAGATTTTCACCTCAGTGACCTTTCAGTTACTGGTCAAACGCTCTTAACTAATAGGCTACCTGCCGCCCAGTATAACACCCTGACAAATTTACACAGGTTGATTTTCAACTTACTTTGTAATAAACACAGGACAGCGACAGTGGGTCCACAGTTTATCAATACAAAAGGAATGCAGTCTCACACATTACAGTCAACAACATACAAGTGCCCAGCCGTCCTACGGTAGGTGTTCCTCTTCAACCTTTCTTTGGCTGGAACACACATAGCAGAGGGGCAGGACATTAACAATATAATTCACTGAATATTCACTGAATATTCTCTTGTAAAAATAGTGACTTGTAAAAATAGTGACTGTTACAATGCCATTTATATTCCTCCCTTCAGGTGTAGTAGATAGCTCTAACAGTCAAGTATTTAACACATGTATTTTGGTATGACTGTAAATGAAAGCCTAAATTACTCATACTATTACATATAGCAATATGTACAGCTGATTCATTAAAACGATATACATTGTGGACCACCATTCCTCATTCATGAAAAATCTTGTGTTCTTCCAGTACCCAAGAAACACTTGGAGGAGAGACGTCCAGGCGGAAATCACTGAGAGCTGCCACAACTGGTGTGACCTGGAAAAACTTGGCCCAAATCGAGTGAGATGGAGGGCATTCATCAACGGCCTATGCTCCTTACAGGAGCCAAGCGCTTCAGTCAAGTAAGTCTTCCAGACCCCTTACTCTATGTCTCAAAATGACCAGCAGATATCACTTAAATACTGCTTCATAACTGCTTTCTTTGAGAACAACTTGCTCAATGGATCACTATGGTTTCAACAATACCACATATTTATTCATTGACCAATGAAGGAGGGATTTGGACTGCCTCACATATTCAAGATGTAGCCTATATCTCATATTTTTTGTATTCCATTGTCTGATATCAGGACACTCACCCTGGGCTTTCCACACCGGCGGATTTTGTTGCCTAGGGGATGAGAATGTAAAACAATCAGTGAGTACTGATGATACAGTCTATTACAGTACTTCCCATGCCCCTAAAAGACAGCAAGGCAATAGAGAACACTATCATTAAATTGGTTTAAGGTGGGTTTTTTAGATCGCTTTAAGTCAGTCAGGTTGGAGAGAGTGCACACACACACACACACACACACACACACACACACACACACACACACACACACACACACACACAGTCTGGTCTGGGGACTCACTTGCCAGCAGGAGAACAGACAGGATCATGATGACTGCAACGAAGGTCAGACCTCCAATACACAGAGTCTGGTAGTCTACAACACAGAGGACACACTCATCATAAGCTTACCCATGGTAACATCTCTCTCTTTTTCTCTCTCTGTCTCTGTCTCTCGCTCTCTGTCTCTCTCTCATTCTCTCTCATTCTCTCCTTGCCATTAGGCATTATCAAATTACCAAATTACTATCTCTATCAGATAATGATTTCGTGCAGTACCATTTTGTTGTCTCTTACCATACACAAATTCTGCATCAGGGTCGTACTCAGGAGCTGAGGAGAGAGCAGAGAACACGAGATAAGATCCAAGAGGATATCTACACTCTACAGGCCAATACACTCAGAGGAGTGACAGATATAGAGTAGACAGAGAAACATACTGTTGTCCCAGGAGAGGGGTAGACTCATAATGAAGTAAAGTGGTCCCCTCTGATTCCCTCTACATGGATCTGGGTAAGCGTCAATGGCTGCCTACACAGGAGGCTCCTGTCTATATTCATGGATTTAGATTTTCTGTGGCCCAATTCCAAATGCCATGCAGTTCAATGATCCCCATCCAATGTACATAAACAAACATACACCATACTGTATGTTGTATATTCCCTTGAACTGGTTTGTGTTGAGGTAATCTCTAGTGGACAGACTACATAAACTCAATTCTGCAAGATTTTTGTTCTGGGTTAACCGAGATTAGTGTTGAAGTAATGGTCAACATAAATGTAATGTAAAATGTAAATGTAAATGTCAACACATACACACCCACCTCCAGCCCCCTGGCTTTCATTGCCATATAGGGGCCTAGTTTTGGGGGCTACCAGAGTTCAGAGCATAGAATGTTTAAGCAATAAGACCCAAGGGGATGTGGTATATTGCCAATATACCATGGCTAAAGGCTGTTTTTAAGCACGACGCAACGCAGAGTGCCTAGATACAGCCCTCAGCCGTCGTATATTCAGTCTCCCAGCGGTATATTGGCCATATACCACAAACCCCTGAGGTGCCTTATTGCTATTATAAACAGGTTACCAACGTAATGAGAACAGTAAACAAGTAGTTTTGCATCATACCTGTGGTATATTGTCTCATATACAGTACCATGATTTTCAGCCAATCAGCATCCAGGGCTCGAACGACCCGGTGTCTAATAATATATGACTGACTCAAAAGTCTACCTGACCCACAGAAAGTCAATGTAAATCTCCCAGAGCAGGTCATGCCAACATGGTCCCTGTTTTGTTTGACTGCTCCATATAGATAAGGAGCAGGCTAATATGTTGTGTCTCACTCAGTCAATGGGAAGTAGTGGTGACTGAGAGTGGTTTGTTTGAGTATGTGAAGGTGCTTTGGGATATGTACTGTATGTCTCACAGTTGAAGCTAGCTAGCTTGTGTCGGTCTCTGTGGCTATAGCATAGTAAATCAATGTTTACTGTGTAGCTAGAACAAGAACAGAGCTAGCACATGGTTTCCTGTGGCTTTCTGCCCATTACCTGACTGGCTAATGGTGTACATGAAACATGATCAGGCCACAGGTTGTGGCTATTGCCTGCAAAACCCATGATATAAGAGAAAACTGGGACGGGAGGGGACACCTATGGGCAAGATCTCCAGGTTGTTATATATGTTTTGTATATAGGACAAATTAAATATATTATGGTAAATCATCATGAACTTTAATATAACCTAGTGAGTCAAAACTTTAGACCTCTGGGGAAAAAACTGGGCTATTTGTGTCTAGTACCGGTAATTGAAATTCAGTAGTGTAAAACGTACCTCCAGCGGCGGACATGGAGGCTGGTCTGTTTGAGTGTCTGTTAGGATGAAGGAAATGAGTAAGAGATATACAAAAGCTGTATCCATGTCTACAATAACATTTGATGGGTCCCTAGTCATCCATTGTAGTTTGGTATGCTTAGAAAATCTGTTTTGGTTTGGCACTGGCATTGCTGACAGGGAAAAAGTGGTCAATATGTAACATATCTTTGTTTGTCTAGTTAGCAAATCATTTATGTCAGTATCGTTACCAATGAAAACAGGCATTATGTTAGTTCTGAAATCCATTGTCTCATGTGGTTATGGATTCAGATAGATTACATTCCAATAATCTGTTTTTAAACTCTTAAGGATCGGACCCTTTTTTTCAATTTTCGGCTAAAATGACATACCCAAATCTAACTACCTGTAGCTCAGGACCTGAAGCAAGGATATGCATATTCTTTATACCATTTGAAAGGAAACACTTTGGATTTTGTGGAAATGTGAAATTAATGTAGGAGAATATAACACATTAGATTTGGTAAAAGATAATACAATTTTTTCTTCATCATCTTTGAACGCAAAAGAAAGGCCATTATATAATTTTGCAGTCTAGGCGCAGTTTAGATTTTGGCCACTAGATGGCAGCAGTGTGTGTGCAACGTTTCAGATTGATCCAGTTAATCATTGCAATTCTGGACTATTTTGTGTCAAGTCTGCCCAAATGTGCCTAATTGGTCAATTTATACATTTTCAAGTACATAACTATAGAGAACATTCAAAAATGAAATGGTAATACAAAATGTAAGTTTACACACTCCCAGGAATGTCATACATGATGGAACATTAGCTTATACACTAACTTTCACACATCTAGATGGCCGGGCGGGGTGGGTGTGGAGCCAGAGACAGCAGGGGTTCAATCTGTAGAACCCAGTTCCTACATTTGAATATAAAAATTGATTTTATCAAACAAAACTATGCTACATTTTATCTCTGGGACCCTTAGGATGACAAATCAGAGCAAGATTACTGAATGTAAGTACATTATTTACCTTCAGAGGTGAATGGATCAAACCAGTTGCCGTGATACGTTTTTTGTTGTTGTGCACTCTCCTCAAACAAGAGCATTTTTTCACTGTAATAGCTACTGTAAATTGGACAGTGCAGTTAAATTAACAAGAATTTAAGCTTTCTGCCCATATTAGACATGTCTATGTCCTGGAAAGTTTGCTGTTACTTACAACAGCCATGCCAATCACATTAGCGCACGTTAGCTCAACCGTCCCGTATATGGGGCACCGATCCCGTAGAGGTTAATACATCTGGGGAATGGTTTTTAATGGTTTTATCCAGGTTTTATGAAAGTCCGTTGACAGGATAAGGAACTCTAGATGTCCAAACAAAATGCTTTAGCTCATTCTTCATCTTCAGCCTTTATATCTGACTAATTTCTAGAGAGGGTAGTAGAGATAATGATTTACACACACACACAACACACACACACACAACACACACACACACACACACACACACACACACACACACAGTACTCTGTTCTGTTCTTTTGAGCTAAATCTCTCCTCTTTAATCATTAACTTACATGGATTGTGAGATTAAAACATCCCTGAGTCTATTTTGTTCGGGTAGTCTCGTGTATGTAAGTACGAGTTGTGAGAGTGTATGTGCGTGTGTGTAGACCTGTGTATTTAAGTATTCTGTGTGTGTGGTTTTTCAATGTATAAGTGACATACTTAAATAGAAAAGGTATTCATTGCCTAAATGTCAACTCAATTCATTAATCTTGACACCCCCTACAATCACCCTCTAAAAGGCATTCATTCATATGAGACAAGAATACTTCTGCTTTTACATCTACTCAATATGGCATTATTATTTTTAAACTCTGAATCGTTGGGAACGGCTTGTAAGCAAGCATTTTGCAGGTAAAGTTTACACCCGTTGCATTTGGCGCATGTAGACGAGTAAAATCTGATTTGTAGAGCACCCTGAGAAAGTGAACATCAATAAAGGCTTATTGCTAGTTCGATAATATTATACAGTGTAATTATAGACCAGCATAGTTTTGTCTTTCACTGATCAATATGTTTGTATCGAAGAGTAATACACCATGTTATTGATATGATAAAGATTGTGATCAAAAGCAGATGATGCATGAAAAGCTGGCCCTTTTCCCAACTGTAAAGTATTTCCCAACTAGCTAGCTGTGATTGCTTATGAGTTGCTTGAGTTAAATAAACAATAATTCAACAAGTAGGTATACATTTATCCAACAAGTGCTCCTCGGTATCATCAAGTATTATGTATTTGAAGTACTAACGGTCTATCAATCTCTAGTCATAGCATTCAGTACATCCAGATTGGACTCACCTGTGGACCTGTGGTGCTGGAAGGCTCCTCTGGCTGAGTGTGTCCTTCTGTCTCTGTAGTCAGCTGCAGTCCAGTCACCTCCTGCCCCGTCTACCCCATTCACTCCCCCATCTCTCACTCTGTGACACCCACAATTCAGCCTGCCCGGCTTGCCCTACCCCACCAGCCATCCATTTACATGTTTATGGGCCTATAAAGTGTGGCCTTCAGAGCTTATAAATAGTGTAAGATGGTAACCTTTGGAATCATTGAGGCGCAGTTTTCACATTACTGTGACTAACCTAGGAGGAAATTCACGCCATTTTGTACCCTACCTTTGAAGTAGCACTCATACAACCTTGAGTGACTTTGAGTTCGACATTGGCAGGTTGATTGCATTGTCATTGTGTTGTAGTTCTTGGTAGTATGACTTTGTAGCTTACCACAAGTATGACCAGAATCACAGATGAGCAGTGGTTGGTGGCTATTTTTCTCCATAATTAAACTATACAAGTAAACCATAAGATAAAATTACAACTAAAACTGTATAAATTAACAAATACGTGAAGGTTATTGGTGATAGACACTTTATTTCTATGTTAAAAGCACAAAATGCAGCTATACAACACAACCTTATGCACAGAATGAACAGAGCAGTTACTTATTGTCGTGACAGTTTTTTTTGTAACAATGATACTCTGCATAAGACTCCATATATCTGAATGCATGACATAAGCTTTACCTGACGTCTGATACAGAGAAAATTATATTTTCCTTTTATTTTCTTCACCTAATTTGGCGTCTAAAACTATGACCCTGGCACAGTTAGTGTCTACACAGAAACTCTCTCACACACACTATCTCTCACTCACACACAGGCCCACTCTCTCATTAACTAAATGCATGATCAATCATACAATACAAAACAGCAAGACACCATTGGTTGAGAGACTGATTTTGCAATCGGCTACTGTAACTTCTCAACTAAACGATAGAGGACACAGATTTGCGGCACTGGTGTGTGTATGGGAACCGTCCAATCATAGCCTGCCTCTGAGGGCGGTATCGCCCGGCTCGGCCAATGACAGAGGAGGAGACTAGATTGGACGGTTGTCTAGGACAAGGCAGTGATACAGCTGATGTAGGAGCTCACTTTACTACAGTGTGTACTGTTGGTGAGCTCCTAGTTAACTCTGATGCATTCTTGTGCTTGGTCAGCAAACTGTGGCAGTTGGATTCTTGTGTGTAAGGCGCAACTGTCAAATACACACTAACTCTCAGACACACACATACAAACACACCACCCAAACTCATGTACCCACACAGGCACACATATATTGAAATATATATAGCTATAACTGTATACTGTGTATAGGCTATTTATACTAATATATGCATGTATATATTGTATATAATCTACCACGTGAAAAACGGCATTGAGGACAATTGTTACAAGAGTGGTAGTGATAATAACAACTCATAAAAATATAGCAAACAGTAAAGATGACAGAAACACAGAATATAAGCTAAACACAAACAAGAACAACATCTCTTATTATTAAGAACTGGGGTAAAGACGATCTGCAAAAAGGTGTCACTGGCTAATACAACAAACTGGAGACAGACTGTCGCAGAAAGGCACAGGTGCACACGAGATCACTGAGACACGTATACAGACACCGAGCACGGAACAATAGGCTAGAGGTTTATTTACATCTGCATTATCCCCCCCACCCCCCTCTACACACTTCTATCTACAGTATTCCTTTTGCATCATCTTCATTCTTCATTATCATCTTCATTCATCATAATTCTTCTTCATCATCGGTATCATCTTTGTCATCGTCAGCGTTATCATCTTTGTCGCCATCACCGTCATGGTCATTGTGTTGGTCCTTAGGTAGTGGTTCACAGTGGTGTAAAGTACTTAAGTAAAAATACTTTAAAATACCACTTCAAGTAATTTTTTGGGGTATCTGTACTTTACTTTACTATTTATATTTTTGACAAGTTTTTATTTTACTCCACTACATTCCTAAAGAAAATAATGTACTTTTTACTCCATACATTTTCCCTGATACCCAAAAGTACTCGTTACATTTTGAATGCTTAACAGGACAGGAAAATGGTCAAATTCACGCACTTATCAAGAGAACATCCCTGGTCATCCCTACTGCCTCTGATCTGGCGGACTGACTAAACACAAATGCTTCATTTTTAAATTATGTCTGAGTGTAAAATAAATAGTCTGGTTTGCCTAATATAAGGAATTTGAAATGATTTATACTTTTACTTTTGATACTTAAGTATATTTTTGAAATTACATTTACTTTTGATACTTAAGTATATTTCAAATCAAATACTTTTACACTTTTCCTCAAGTAGTATTTTACTGGGTGACTTTCACTTTTACTTGAGTCATTTTCTATTAAGGTATCTTTATTTTTACTTGAGTATGACAATTGGGTACTTTTTCCACCACTGGTGGTTCAGTGGCAGATATGGTTGATCGTCGGTCAGGTGGGGGGCAGTCTGTTTGGGCTGACTCAGTTTTCAGCCTTAGCTTCAGGCTCTGGCTCTGGCTCCTTAGCTGTGTTTGGACAGAAGAGGGGGAACCAAGGAAACTCATATGACTTCATGAAAAGTCAGTCAGGTTGGGGTAGTCATTTCAAAGTGGCCGAAACAGGGGGGACCTAGGCATCGACTACAAAGAATAATTCCCAATGGTTGAACATAACTATGGATTGGTGTCAAGGGTGTTCTCAGGGGTGTGTGAGGGGTGAGTGGGTAGTGACAGTTGTCTCACCCTTGGACACGATTAGGGTCTCTGCCGTAGCCTCTTCGTCTCCAGGGGCCCTGCAATAGAACCAAAAGGACAGATGTTGGTTGTCATGGTGAACAGAGATGGAGAACACAGCCCCATAACATCAGAGCAGAAATGTAATCTACCAATCAGGCACAATTGCTGACTTACTTGGGCTTCTTCTCCTGATTGGAACTGCAGCGACATTTTCGGCCTAGAATGGACAACAAATCATTATCATGATCTTAATCAACAATCAAAGAGCATAAAATATGTGTGGCGTAGTTAGACTTACTGAAGTATGAAGACTTACTGAGGATGAGGAGGATGCCCAGCGTGAAGAGTACCACGCCAAAGACCAGTCCACAGATCCGCAGGCTATGATAGTCTACACAGAGACAGAGACACATAGAGAGGAGGGACATCTACTTATGAAAGTCTTCTTTCATGGCTATTGGAACATTGTCAGTTGATGGGAAAGAGCATCAAGATGCACTAACAGTGGTCTGCTTACCATAGACAAATGGGTTCACCTCTTTCTTTTCCTTTTTACCATCTGAAAATACAGGCACAGAGAAAGGCAAGGCAATGAGATACTAGCTGTATCGAACATCTAACAATCATAGCAGTTTTCAATGCTGTACATACAGTACCAGTCAAAAGTCAAAAGTTTGGACACACCTACTCATTCAAGGGTGTTTCTTAATTTTTACTATTTTCTACTTTGTAGAATAATAGTGAAGACATCAACACCATGAAGTAACAAATATGGAATCATGTAGTAACCAAAAAAGTGTTAAAGAAATCAAAATATATTTTATGTTTGAGTTTTTGAAATAGCCACCCTTTGCCTTGATGACAGCTTTGCATACTCTTGGCATTCTCTCAACCAGCTTCATGAGGTAGTCACGTGGAATGCATTTCAATTAACAGGTGTGCCTTCTTAAAAGTTAATTTGTGGAATTCCTTTCCTTCTTAATGCGTTTGAGCCAATCAGTTGTGTTGTGACAAGGTAGGTGGGGGTATACAGAAGATAGCCCTATTTGGTAAAAGACCAAGTACATATTATGGCAAGAACAGCTCAAATAAGCAAAGAGAAACAACAGTCCATCATTACTTTAAGACAGGAAGGTCAGTCAATATGGAACATTTCAAGAACTTTGAAAGTTTCTTCAAGTGCAGTCGCAAAAACCATCAAGCGCTATGATGAAACTGGCTCTCAAGAGGACAGCCACAGGACTGGAAGACCCAGAGTTACCTCTGCTGCAGAGGATAAGTTCATTAGAGTTACCAGCCTCAGAAATTGCAGCCCAAATAAATGCTTCACAGAGTTCAAGTAACAGACACAGCTCAACATCAACTGTTCAGAGGAGACTGTGTGAATCAGGCCTTTATGGTTGAATTGCTGCAAAGAAACCACTACTAAAGGACACCAATAAGAAGAGACTTGCTTGGGCCAAGAAACACGAGCAATGGACATTATAAATGTGTCCTTTGGTCTGGAGTCCAAATTTGAGATTCTTGGTTCAAACTGCCGTTTCTTTGTGAGACGCAGTGTGGGTGAACGGATGATCTCTGCATGTGTAGTTCCCACCGTAAAGCATGGAGGAGGAGGTGTTATGGTTTGGGGGTGCTTAGCTGGTGACACTGTCTGTGATTTATTTATAATTCAAGGCACACTTAACCAGCATGGCTACTATAGCATTCTGCAGCGATACGCTATCCCATCTGGTTTGGGCTTAGTGGGACTATCATTTGTTTTTCAACAGGACATTGACCCAACACACCTCCAGGCTGTGTAAGGGCTATTTTACCAAAAATGAGCGTGATGGATTGTTGCATCAGATGACCTGGCCTCCACAATCCCCCGACCTCAACCCAATTGAGATGGTTTGGGATGAGTCAACAAGTGCTCAGCATATGTGGGAACTCTTTCAAGACTGTTGGAAAAGCATTCCAGGTGAAGCTGGTTGAGAGAATGTGAAGTGTGCAAAGCTGTCATCAAGGCAAAGGGTGGCTATTTGAAGAATCTCAAATATCAAATATATTTTGATTTGTTTAACACTTTTTTTTTTCTACATGATTCCATATGTGTTATTTCATATTTTTAGATGTCTTCACTATTATTCTACAATGTAAAAAATAGTAAAAAATAAAGAAAAACCCTTGAATGAGTAGGTGTGTCCAAACTTTTGACTTGTAGTGTACCTAACAGCATAATGGGGCTGGGCTTAACATGGCTAAACACATTGATTACACACAGGTTACTCACCCTCAGCATTTGGGTCTGCTACTACTAAGAGAGAGAGAGAGAGAGGGAGAGAGAGACTCTTATGATTTCTTAGAACAGAATTCAAAATTCTGATGGTCTTTATTGGCTCTTATTTTAACTACAATAAGATGTCACATCCAGAGCTTGGATAGGGATCTTGACAGGTTACGGTATTCACATCCGGTTGTGAAATGGCACTGGCCGTGTGGATGATTCGTTGAATGGACCGTCTCAGTTATCCCCCTGTCCTCCTCCTCCCCTACTCTATTCTTCCAACCCTCGCTCCCTGTGTCAATTAATTTCCTAAATTCCCATCAGCAAACACTGTCCGGCCCATTGCACAAACCCCAGACCTTCTATCTGCTACACTACCCCATTATGTGTGTGTGTATGCGTGCGTGTGTGTGCACTCTACTCAGCATGTGTATTCACATCAACAGACAGGGAATCACACAGAATGGGGAGTCAGTGCATGAAAAACATTGAATTATAGTGGGAGGGAGATGAATGGAGGATAATGTACATCTAGAGATGGAGAAATGGAAGAGGGAAAAGGAGAGATGTATAGTCTGGAGACAGAAACGAGACAAAATAAGAAAGGGTGAAAGAAAGAGAAAACAGAACAGGCAGTGTGAACAAAACACAGATGAAAGAATGGAGAGGATACGGAACGGGTGTCAGGAAACATGGAAGGAGGGCAGGAAAAGAGGGAGGTCGAAAAGAATGTGAAGTGAACAGAGGTGGGAAGGAGGGCAGGAAAAGAGGGAGGTCGAAAAGAATGTGAAGTGAACAGAGGTGGGAAAACACAAAAGCAATAGAATGTGGAATGTTAGTCTGATTGACAAACAAGAAAGAGTGAGAGGCAAACAGTGTGGATAACACCAGAAGACATGACATGGATGGCTCAGTTGCTCTCTCAAGTGATGTATTGAACCTATGACTTCACGTTTAGATTCTTAACGGCATAACAAGAGTGTGGAAGAGTTACACAGTTCCTGTGTGTGTGTGTCACGGCCTAAATATACTTGTGATATACAATATATTACATTATACTTGGGATATACATATCAACACCCACACGCACTGTACAATGCATGCAAAGGTAGGAAGCCACAGTCTCCAGAATAAGTTAGTCCATTAATGTTCAGTCAAAACCCCATGCCTGCCATGTCATGACACGGCCCTCCCCTGTGTCTCCTGCCTCTCTGTGGATAGTGCGGTAGTCGTGCTGGTGTTGGTGGTAGTGGTGGAGGGGAGGAGGGGGCACTTACCAGCCACATACACCATGAGTGAAAAGAGGAAGAACAGAATAGTTTCCATGGTAACTGCAGAAAGAGAGAGAGAAATAAATAGAGCGAGAGAGAACCGTGTTAGTGGATTACATGCCACACACACATACACACCAAGACACACATGCTCACACAGACACATATGTAAGGTTGGAAAACGGCCCCCTCATTACCTCTCCCCCTTCTATTGAAACAACCTGTTGAGTAACCCCACTAACCTTTATTCTTGTTACATAACAATACATGTATAGAATATTGGAATGGACACTCTTGGAATGTTCCTAGTTCCCTATGGAGGCCAGAGTGAATTGGCCCACTTCCCCATATGTCACATACGTACACACATGTATATATATATATAATGTCACAAAGGACCACACACAGGCACAGATCACTAATTACCCTCATTACAAGTCAAGAGATGACAACGGAGCAATCTCTGAGAAATTGTTTCTTTAGTCCAGTATTGGTCTTTCAGGTTCCAAGTACCACAATCCTAAAATGGTGGATACCTCACATTAACTGGATCAATACCAATCAAGTGTCTCATTTTCAGTTACATTCTCAAACCAGTACTACACATACATCTTGGTGGGAATAGAAACTAGATGTAAAAGTTGCCAAGCTGCTGGAGAAATTAGAGTAACGGGTTGAAGATGAGCCAATTACAGACAAAATACAGATGGTTACAATACTACAGTAGAATACTTGTATTCAGGCTTTTTAAGGAAAGAAACTTGCCCTCCAGGCAAAGAGATGACAACAATCCCTCCATTACTTTTCCTCTCCTCTCCTAGCTTTTCTCGTCTCTCTATCCATCTATGTCCTCCATGCTATGTGCCCCACTTCTCATGGAGCATATCCTTTATTGATCCCACCATGCAGATTGTGGGGGAGAGAATACATTTGGCTAAACAGGACCTAAGTCATTAGCATATTTCCTTAGCATCACAGTCCAGATGCTGTTTGTGCAGCATTCCCTTAAAGACCTTGCCCTAGAAACAGCTTTAAGTGGCGAGCCCAGCCCCATGGCCACAGGTTGAAGTTTTTTGGGATGAATCATGTTCTGGAGGAAGGTAATTTGCTCAATGATAGGGCACTTGGTAGTAATTGAGCAACAAATGGCCTAATGAACTGGGAGAGAGTGGCTTCACAGCACACATGATGTTGTAATGTTGAATCCTGGCAATTATTCACAGAGCTACACATTTTACATATTTGTAATTCATGGCATTAAGAGCATTGCATGTAAAAGCCAAACTGACCTCTCAGTCTATGTCACGATCGTCGACTGATGAAGCGGACCAAGGCGCAGCGTGATAAGCGTACATTCTTTATTAGTGTACACAACACGAACCAAAACAATAAACAAACGATACGTGAAGTCCTAGGTTACAACAAAAACCTCTACGGAACAAGATCCCACAAAATACTAGTGCCAAACAGGCTGCCTAAGTATGGTCCCCAATCAGAGACAACGAGCTACAGCTGTCTCTGATTGGGAACCACCCTGGCCAACATAGATATAAACGATCTAGAACAAAAGCATAGAAAATGTAACAGAAACTCCACACCCTGGCTCAACATTTAAGAGTCCCCCGAGCCAGGGCGTGACAGTACCCCCCCCCCCAAAGGCGCGGACTGCGACCGCGCCACACCAACACAACGGGGTAGGGGCCGGGTGGGCATTCCGCCTTGGAGGCGGATCCGGCTCCGGGTGTGACCACCACTCTCTCTCTACCCCCCCGTAACGTCATTGGTCTGGTCTGGCCCCGCTGGCCGGAGCTGGACTGGACACCGGTGGAGCGGATTGCTCTGGCTCCGGTGTGGAGCAGCTGACCGGTGCCGGACCAGGCACCGGTGGAACAGGCACGGACCGTGCCGGACTGACGAAGCGCACCACTGGCTTGGTGCGGGGAGCAGGAACGGGCCGGACCGGGCTGACGACGCACACCACTGGCTTGGTGCGGGGAGCAGGACGGGCCGGACCGGGCTGACGACGCGCACCACTGGCTTGGTGCGGGGAGCAGGAACGTGCCGGACCGGGCTGGCGACGCGCACCACTGGCTTGGTGCGGGGAGCAGGAACGTGCCGGACCGGGCTGGCGACGCGCACCACTGGCTTGGTGCGAGGGGCAGGAACGGGCCGGACCGGGCTGGCGACGCGCACCACAGGCTTGGTGCGGGGAACAGGAACAGGCCGGACCGGGCTGACGACGCGCACCACAGGCTTGGTGCGAGGGACAGGAACAGGCCGGGCTGGACTGTGGAGACAGACTGGAGGTCTGGAGCGGAGAGCTGACACAACCCGTCCTGGCTGAATGCCTATTTCCACACAATCTGTGTGAGGCATCAGCACAGGACGTACAGGGCTGTGCACTCGTACTGGCACTACAGCACGTGGCACTGGCGCAGGATTTCCGGGACCGAGGAGGGGTATTGGAGGCCACGAGCGTTGAGCCGGTACACACGTGCGTGGTGCTAGCACAGGACGTACAGGACTGTGCCGGAACACTCGCGGCACAGTACGTGGCTCTGCATAACACGGAACCTGCCCAGTCTCACGCTGCCTAGCCTGAGTACGGGGAGTTGGCTCTGCTCTACCTCTAGGCTCCGCCAACCACCCTTCCAGCCCCCCAAACCTGGTGGCCTCCTCTCCTAGTCCGCCGAATCGTCCTGTAGCTGCCTCCAGCAGCCCCGTCGTCCATGCCGTGTGCCCCCCCCAAAAAAATTATTGGGGTTGCCTCTCGCGTGTCCGTCGTCGGCACGGTTGCCGCCATTTCTCCTCCCCTGCCTGGGCATTTACTTTTGCCCATGGCCCTCTGCCCGCGAATATGTCCTCCCAAGACCACCATTCGCCCACCTGGGACATCGCCAACTTCTCCTCCTGGGCACGCTGCTTGGTCCTCTGGTGGTGGGATCTTCTGTCACGATCGTCGACTGATGAAGCGGACCAAGGCGCAGCGTGATAAGCGTACATTCTTTATTAGTGTACACAACACGAACCAAAACAATAAACAAACGATACGTGAAGTCCTAGGTTACAACACAAACCTCTACGGAAAAAGATCCCACAAAATACTAGTGCCAAACAGGCTGCCTAAGTATGGTCCCCAATCAGAGACAACGAGCTACAGCTGTCTCTGAATGGGAACCACCCTGGCCAACATAGATATAAACGATCTAGAACAAAAGCATAGAAAATGTAATAGAAACTCCATACTCTGGCTCAACATTTAAGAGTCCCCCGAGCCAGGGCGTGACAGTCTAGTACAGTAAGTCTCTGTACACAGTTATGTGGATTCATTTGAGTCCGTAAACTGGCTGCATGTTTTACCTGGTTGCATGTTATCACTATTCTACCCAGTTACAGTATATGTGCATTATATTGAGATGGATTTTTTAGTGGACTATGAGATCAAACGGAGTTAATCACGAACATATAGGTAGAATTCTCTGTTGCTAGGCAATAACTTGAATGGTTCCTTTCACTAGGTTTGTGTGTGTGTAAAATGGGCATCTGACCTGTCATTGGGTCATTCTACAGTTGTCTTATTTTATCTTTGACTGCAACCAGACTATGACCCTGTGGCTTTCCTTATGCATATCCCTGGAACGAGCCAGGGTTGAACAGAGTTCAGGCTAAACCCTTTGTCTCTCCTTGGCTATCTTCTTGATTGATTACAGCATGATGGGGTGGGGTTTGTGTACGTTCGAGAGATTGAGTGTGGACCTGTCATGTCCAACAATCAATCTTCAGGTCAAGCCAGGGTGAACCAGGGTTGAACAGAGTTTAAAATTGAACATGATTGTTTTTGCATGACAAGGGTGTGATTGATTGTAATAATATTGTTTCTAAAATGAATGACAGTCAAATTTAGCCCTATCATAGACTAAGGGAGTGGGCGGAGCGGTAGAGAGCGGGAAACTGAAGATAATGGTAGGAGATCCTAAGAGGGAGGGGCTTTGAGCTGGGATGTGTGTGAATGGGAATACAGTGAGGGAAAAAAGTATTTGATCCCCTGCTGATTTTGTACGTTTGCCCACTGAAAAAGAAATGATCACTCTATAATTTTAATAGTAGGTTTATTTGAACAGTGAGAGACAGAATAAGAACATAAAAATCCAGAAAATCGCATGTAAGAAATGTTATAAATTGATTTGCAATTTAATGAGGGAAATAACTATTTGACCCCCTCTCAATCAGAAAGATTTCTGGCTCCCAGGTGTCTTTTATACAGGTAATGAGCTGAGATTAGGAGCACACTCTTAAAGGGAGTGCTCCTAATCTCAGTTTGTTACCTGTATAAAAGACACCTGTCCACAGAAGCAATCAATCAATCAGATTCCAAACTCTCCACCATGGCCAAGACCAAAGAGCTCTCCAAGGATGTCAGGAACAAGATTGTAGACCTACACAAGGCTGGAATGGGCTACAAGACCATCGCCAAGCAGCTTGGTGAGAAGGTGACAACAGTTGGTGCGATTATTCGCAAATGGAAGAAACACAAAAGACTGTCAATCTCCCTCGGCCTGGGGATCCATGCAAGATCTCACCTCGTGGAGTTGCAATGATCATGAGAACGGTGAGGAATCAGCCCAGAACTACACGGGAGGATCTTGTCAATGATCTCAAGGCAGCTGGGACCATAGTCACCAAGAAAACAATTGGTAACACACTACGCCGTGAAGGACTGAAATCCTGCAGCGCCTGCAAGGTCCCCCTGCTCAAGAAAGCACATATACAGGGCCGTCTGAAGTTTGCCAATGAACATCTGAATGATTCAGAGGAGAACTGGGTGAAAGTGTTGTGGTCAGATGAGACCAAAATCGAGCTCTTTGGCATCAACTCAACTCGCCGTGTTTGGAGGAGGAGGAATACTGCCTATGAACCCAAGAACACCATCCCCACCATCAAACATGGAGGTGGAAACATTATGCTTTGGGGGTGTTTTTCTGCTAAGGGTACTGGACAACTTCACCGCATCAAAGGGACGATGGACGGGGCCATGTACTGTCAAATCTTGGGTGA